TTAAAATTTCAAATACAAGTGCCAAATTTTAAATTTTTTAAAAAATTTGAGCAAAGATATCTCAATAATCACCCAAGAAAAAAAAAAAAACCCCCTATATGTAATAAACAAAATTTAAAGCTTTATATGTATATTAAATAAAATTTAAAGCTTTATATGTGTATTAAATAAAATTTGAAGCTTTATACATGTATTAAATAAAATTTGAATCTGAATGTAAATATATTTTGTATATTTGAATCAAATGTATTTGGCTTAGAATTTGGATAATTAAATTAAATAAATTCTAATAAGTTGAATAAAATATCAATTATTTCTTCAAAAAATCTCATGATCTCATGATTCTGTTATTCTTGTTCACAGATTGAAATTTAAAAAGTGATTATGTAACTGATCATTAGCCAATCAAAAATTCAAGACTAAAAATATAAACTTTTTTTTTTAGCTGATAAAATTTAACACATTTTCTATTTTATAAAAGGGCTATATTTTTAATCATAATCTTTTATAAAACACTTCATAATTCAAAATATTCAACAGCAGAATCTTTTCTTATATTTTACAATTTTTTAAATATCCCTACAAAACCACACTTTCTCATCTCAGCTTTAATTTTTTGAAATTTAAACTTCGTATTACCTTCTTTACTTTAATTCTTTAATATTCTTTTTATAATTTGTTCTCTTTTAAAATTTAAACTTCACATTACCTTTCTTTTCTTTAATTCTTTAATATTCCAATGTCAAGCTTGCTAATATGCGGGGTCATTGATGCATTTTTAAAGATTCAAGTACCAGGTATTTCGAAGTGTTTTCATATGAAAATATTGGGTTTCTTAATTCTCTAAATATTGTTTATGTGACCCGAATGTAGTGAAGCAATTTGAATTAGCGAAGTGTACAAAGTTTTCATGTGAATCAGTACAAAATCAAGATAATAGAAAAAACTGTTCAAAGGAAATAAAGTACCACATGAAAGCATGTATGAAGCCGAACTATATCATAGACTATCTTATCATCTTAAGGATAAAGGTGGTAAAGTGACAGGACAATACAAAAACCTGGTAAAGACTAGAAAGCGCTTAAATATTAAATTGGTTTACAGTATATAACTATGATGTTATTGGTTAGCGACATCTTATTTTTTGCTATATATTATTTTTATATGTTACTAATATATAAATTTTTTTTTTTTTTAAAGCAAAATGTCTACAGAAGAATTTTTTACCGATTTCGACGACGCTTTAGTTGATTTTGCTAGCTTCTTTTTCTCTATAAGTAGGTTTGTAGTCGATTCTTAAACTATCGACCAAGTCGATGTTATAAAAAATATCTTAGCTGGCTTAGTCGACTAGGTAATAAAACATGTTGATTTTTGAAATCAATCGATCAAAGAAATTCAAGATGCAAGTACACGAGTTGTTTTAGAATCCAAAATCCACTTAATTGAATTCAGAATTTATCTGTAACATTTATTTTAGATTCAGAATTCTATAATGTAAAATATGTTATTATAAAAAGAACGCGATCAATTCTGTAAGGAGATTCTCCAAAAAAAATCGACAAACTTATCCGATTATTCCAAAACTGAACATTTCAATTAGGCGTTTAATAAATTAAATGACTTTACCCATTAAAGATTTAGTTGTACACTTCTTTCGGGGGATGTTGCATCAGATCCACAAGTAATGGGTACCCTTATTTTACATTTTGCTCGAGGGGTCTCGAACCCGGGCTCTCAGCTACGTATCCCAGAGCTTCTATATATCATTTACAAAAAGTATTTGCTTCTAAATTCATCTAATTATCTATGTGACTTGCTAATTGCATACAGTAGATACGTGCACAAATAGGTCAATATCAAAGTCGATATGCGAGTAAATTCTTTGACTTGTTTATTTCTTATACACGCAAGAGAAGTAATATCCGAATGTTCAATATTTTGATCAAAGTAATCCAATGGCCTCTGGTTTTTTAAATGTAATGGTCTCAAATGAAATAGCTTAGTCATGAGTGTAAATATTAGAAGTTTTTTGGGGTTTACTAAAATGCACTATAGGTGTTAAAATACCATAATTGCTATTTCTCTAATCATTTAATTCTTGGTGCTCTAATCAAAAATACTCAGCGACCTAAAAAACATTTATTTAACTCTAATCCTACTCCTAACCTCTAACTTAACTTGAACTTTATTAGCCAAAATTTTATATTACAAATAATAAGTAATAAAAATACAGTATATACAGTATATGGTGTTGAATACCATAGGTGCATTTTATAATTTGTCTTGTTTTTACCGAGTAAATCTACCATCCAAAAAGTTATAGAGGCAGAAATACAGTCATAAATAGCGACGCTAAAATCGGTCCAGTGAATCGCTAGAAGATCATATATTTCTTTCTTTGCAGTTCTACATATACCTTACTATTAATCAGATTTATATCTTTTACAACTTTTATTAGAAGATAAATTTGCTTGGTTAAAAACTATTTTAGGATCTAATTTAAACAAAATATATTTTGTATCCTTCATTATTTATTATGTTAACTACTGCTTCCCAGGCAGAACAAGGTTTCACACCGCACCGAGTGTTATTTCGAGATGCTCATGTGTTATTTCGAAATACTGTAAAGGGTCAAAAATTTTAACTTGACGGATATATATCAAATTTACTATCACATATATATTATACAAAGTATACGTTGTTTTGGTACGCGCATAGAGTCGTTTTGAGAGAAAAATATGATGATTGCAATGTTCGAAATAACGCTACGAGCGTTATTTCGGCTACTCTTTCAATGAATTCTATAAAGAATCCGATTGGCCAGTTTTGTCAGTCAGACAAACCAGATTCTTTGTTGGGTCCATTGAGGAAAATGTTTGAGAACGCTTTAAGATGTAAATGCAAGATATAAGATATGAATATAAGACTACACAAAATAAAATTTTAGTTCCCATGGCTATTATACGAAAACAAAAAAATTAATTGATGTGGCTAATCATATATATTTGAATGCATTTAGTTATTTCTAAAAAAAAACATTATCAAAATTCTGGATCATATACTTGTAATTATAATACAAATGTATTTATAAGCTTTATTTTCTACCGACAATAGGTGACCCTTCCTTTCCTGCGTATTCAGTCCAACTTCCATCATAAACTGCAAGTTTTTTTGCACCGATTTTTTCCAAAGCAGTATAAAGCATCGTGGCAGTGACGCCACTACCACAACTTAGTACGATAGGTTTTTCTAAATCAATATTCTTGGATTGAAAGAGTTTCTTTAATTCATCATCATTCAAAAATGTGGTTTTGGTATTTGGGTCAATGATTGAATTGAATGGTACCGAGGTAGAATATGGCATGTGCCCACTTTGGAGTCCAGGCCTTGGTTCGGATGCATCACCAGTGAAACTTTTGATATGAATTAAAATTTATTAATGTTAAATATATAAAAGATAATGATAAATTAATATGGCAGACAAATACCGCGCTTCAGGCCTAGCGTCCAGAACTTGTTCAAATTCTGGAGAATCTTTACCATGATCAATATTATTTCTGATATCATTATAATTCCTTACGAGTGCTGTATTTAATGTCGGAACTTTATACGATTTTGACTATAAAAATAAAATTAATTATAATTTTTTTTTAAAAAAAAAGGATTTTATTTTATTTTCCAAACTCCAAACTTACAATTATGTCGATTGGACCACTCTCTACCGGTCTACCTTCCTTTAACCATTTAGGTAGCCCTCCCTCAAGAAGAGACACTCGTTCATGACCAAAGACCTTTTGATATAAGACATAAATAATGCTGAAATAGTCTAAACCTGAAAGTAGAATAAAGAATTTAAAAATACCTTAAAAGTCCAATAAACCCTTGTTGATGAAAATATCCCTGATCAAAATAAAATAATAATAAAATTAAACAAACAAATCATTTTGAATAAATAACAGTCTTTTCTTGGATTACCAATTGAATCATAAACCACCACATGGTCTTTTTCAGATATTCCAAGGTTGCCTTTGTGAGAAACATATATATTAATTATTAGGGTAAAATCGAGGTTGGTACAGTACAAGGATTGCCTGGCAAACAAATTAACAAACCTACAGCCTCCGAAAAATCTTTTGGAGTCGGCAACATATGTGGTAAATCGGTAGTCTTGTCTTTAACTTCATCAATTCCAAAAAATCTCGCATTCTTTAACAGGCATAAAAAAAAGTATTATCAACATTTATAAACGTAACATTTATAATAAAACAGTTAAAAAAAAACCTTCAAACGCGTCTTGAAATATTCTTCATAAGCATTTCTATTAGCATTTGGCATATGCCATGATCCATCGACAGGTATAATAGAATCGTAATTTTGCTCCACCCATTCAGTGGTAACGATGGAAGCGTTATTTACTGAAGATGTCGATGAAAACATTGCTGTAATGCAAAGCCGATTAGCATTAGAATACTTTATCATCATATTGTGAAATATGATTTACCACGCCCAAATCCAAAATGCACCAAAGATGACTTGTGTGAAGACTTTAATATTGAATTCACACTAATATTTTTTGCAAATATCGTATGAATAGACCGGATGAATTGCATGATCGATAGATTGACTCATTACTTGAAATTATATTATTAATTGCTTTAAATAAGAAATTTTTGCTGATTATCTCAGCATTGGAATATCGCTAGATCTAAAAATCACATGTCTAATTTACCTGCTTTACTATTTTTTTAGGTTTAATATTTTTGCATACACCAATCAAAAAGGACTATCGCAACGTGATGTACCCTGCGTTCTTCTAATTTTACCTATTTTCAGCAGCTCTTATTGGTTTTGAATATACTAATGTAAGAAATCGAAATGTTTTGCGGTTAAGTCTTTGCAATGATGCAATATACATTTAAAGATGGAAGTTAAGGATTTTACAACGTAATGCAGAATAAATTTGCAAGTAATCTTTCACAAAAAGTTTGAATTTTGAATTTCGTGTTGAATATTAGACGAGAGGAGTATAGTTCTTATTCAAGACTTTTTTCATGGTAAACGAAAAATTTTCCAAGAACTGCCCTGTTAAATACTATTGTATATAAATTTGACAGTCTCGTGGAAGATATAGCATGTTCTATTAACTTAGCAAATTAAAAAGTAATTTTATTACATTATTTTGAAGGAAACAATGCATTTTACTCGGAGCGTGCTTATTTATAGATCTTAAGCTACAGGGTATCACTAATTACAAACGAAAAATAATTGCTTAATATGATATTGCTTGATAAATATATTTGATTGTTGAAATATTTTAAGACAGTTTAATACTGTATATAAATACACAATTAAATCATCTAAAATACAAATAATGCTTAAAGACGAAGACTAGAAGAGTTTTGTGTTTATCGAAACTGTCTTACAATTCGACACACGAAAATAAACATGATAAAAATACAGTATATAAGAAGGGATGCTTGATCATGTGGGTGTTTCTATCGATTTAAAAGGCTCGCATTGTTACACAAGAGGTTGGAAAATTGAACAAGGGATCATATCAGAGAAAATTGCCCGTGATAAAAATAAATGACAGAATCAGATTATTAGATTTGTTTAGTAAAAGCTTCTTCTCAGAATCCTCCGACTAGCATAATATCTTCGATTAGTTCGATGTCTAGTCGAATAATTGGGTCCGGCACATCCAGGACATTTCCGAGTGTGAGGCGGACATTTAACTTCATTCTTACAAGTGTAAAGTGAAATTCGACAACCACTACATTCATCACAATAACAGTCTGCATAAGAACCATAGTCAAGAAAAGGACCGTGGGGACCTATAAAAAAGGATAAAATATGGGGAATCTCACAATTGACGAGCAAAAGAGAATTTTCAGAAGGTTTATTATCTTTATCGGAGGTCTTCATTGATTTATTGTCAATTACTTTAAAATTAGCAGAAACAGACGGTTTTATATAAATAAAAAACTAAAGTTTCGGTAAATCTAAACCGGAGAAATTGCATATTTAGGACCAATTTTAGGCATAAAAACATACAAAGAATTCGAGTCCCACAGATCACTTTTCTTCATACCGATACTAAATCTAATCTGAAATAATTTTGCCTTAAAAGATGCTAATGAGGAATTTCTGAAAATGTCCGCCAGTTTACGTAAGTATATAATTAACGTCGTATCACTAAGCTCGGGAAGATCAGGTGTAACGTGATGGTCAAAACAAACATTCTAGTAAAAAGTTTAGGGCTGGCAAGTGATATCATATGACCTATATGACTTACATGAATTGTCATTACAACATTATGCATTAGGGTTTTTAAGATTCTTTTATACCGTATTATACAATTGATACGTATAATACCCGTATAATACCAGTATTATACACAGAGGGAATTTAGCCAATTAAATCGGTTTATTTGAGAACATGAAGATTTCCGATTTAAACTCGAGGTAGGACCGTCCATGTTACACAGACGATCCAATTGATAAAAAAATTTTTTTTATACGTTTTACAATACTTT